CCCACCAGCCTCATTGCCCCCAACTGCCCTCGCCTGCCAGCCTGATCACCCCTAACCGCCTTTGCCTCGGCCCCACCACCATGACTTTGTCTGGAAGGATGTCCAGAAGGTCTCCCGGTCTAATTAGCGTATTACCCTTTTATTAGTATAGATGTCCATCGCTGAAACCCAAACGCAGCATCTAGTGACTGACTGAATGGCAGGTACGAAGTGGGGGCTTTATAAATGGAAGCTACCCTTATTACTGTGCATAGGTTGCCCAAGCTCACCTTCATGCCTGGAGCAGTCCCAGCTCGTGCCTGCGGAACAGCAGGAACGGGTCGCTGGGTCGGCCTGCTCCTCCCCTCCTATGTAAACAGTCAGCACCAGGACTCAGGGATCATCCTGTGGAGCCCCAGCCCTTGTCAGGGTCACAGAGACCCAGACCAGACTCGCAGGACTGCCTGCCACGGCCGAGGCGTGGGCTGCGACTCCAGCTCTGCCCGCAGTTGCTGTGTGCCCGCAGGTACGGCCCTGCCTCCCTTCTATTTCACACAGTTAACAAGTGCTGACAGAGTGCGCATTACCTGCCCAGATCGCCCCAAGCGCTTTATGTACATGGAACTCATTTAATCCTCCTAAGAACCCTATGAGATGTGTCAATAATGTCCTCTACTTTACACATGGCAGACACGAGGCACAGAGAGGCCAGGTGACGTGCCAGGGTCACACAGCTGGTAAACAGCAGAGCCAGGACGCGAGCCCAGCTGTCCGTCTGCAGTCAGTGCTGTAACCACTGCGCTCGGCCCCACGGGCAGTGCCGGTGAAGCGCCAGCGTGGCCCTTAGGAAACGGAACCTCCTACGGAGGGCGCCTCACACTCATCTTCCTCTGGTCCCATTTGGCCTCCCTGACAAGGATCTCCCTTCCTGCCCTTCTCCAAATCTAGTAACTGCATCTCCCCTGCTTCCGGAAGGAAACGGACGATGGTGTGCTGGGCTGGCCCTGGGGGGTGGGGAGTCCTGAAGCACAGTGTTCGTCAGTTTCTGCTGCATAAAAACCCCTCCATGGCCAAGTTCAAGGTACGGACCTGAGAAAATCCGTTCTCAAGAGCCACAGTGAAGGGGCTCCCGCACACCTGTCAACAGGGGTGAATAAGGGATTACTCAGGTACAAACCGCCCACCGGTCCTCTGGGCCTGGGGCTGTGCTCCTCCCACCTCCCACTCCCTTCCTCTTCCTCACCCCTGGGGAATCTGGCTTCGGCCCCTGGAGGGTGCAGCCGCTGTGCAGCTTGGGGCCGTACAGCTGTGACAGGCGCCCCGCTGGGATGCCGCCCAGCTCAGAGCAGCCTTTCCTCCCGACACCCTCACACCCGCCCGGCAGCCCCTGGCTGCCTGCAGGGCAGAGTTTCAACTCCTCGGCCTGTGGACCCTGCCTTTCTTGCTCATCAGATCCTCCACGGAGTCTCTGCACAAACAACCTCCATTCTAGCCACCTCGCACACTGGCCTCACCCACCCGTCACCACGCCTGTGCTTGAGCTGCCGCCGCCTAGAAGGCCATTCCTCTGCTTGGCCACGGATGGGAGGACCCTTGGGCCTCCAGACCTGGCTCTGCCAGGCCATTCTACCCATGTGCCCCCAACCCCCCACTCCTGCAGGACTTAGGGCACAGCGGGTCCTTAGACTCGAATTGCCAGTTACCTTTCAAACAAAACTAAACTAAGTTTCTTGAGGGCCTGAGTGGCTCATTTCTCTGTCCCCTGTACCTACTTAGCAATGTATTGCAAAGCCTTAATCAACTCAACCTGCTTCTGCTGAGCACTTGTTGAGACATTGAGGATGCATGGACGAACGTCACCGTCCCTGTCCCCAAGAGGCTCATACCTTGAAGGAGGGGAGCAAAAAGCAACCAGCACACCGTCCCCTGCAGGTGGGAGGGCAAATGGGCCCAGGGTTTCAGAACCGTTTGTTATTGAAACCGTGAAAATGAGCATCTCTTTTATCCTGGTAATTCCGGGGCCACAAGTTAGTCCACGCAACACAGACAAGGGCACGCGCTTACCACTGTGTCATCGCCGATAAAGAGGCGTTTCCAGCGTCATTTCCAGCGTCACGGGAAAACGGTAAAGGAGCCCGGCCGGCGTGGCTCAGTGGTTGAGCATTGACCTATGAACCAGGAGGTCAGGGTTCGAATCCCGGTCAGGGCACATGCCTGGGTTGTGGGCTCGATCCCCAGTAGGGGGTGTGCAGGAGGCAGCTGATCAATGGTTCTCTCTCATCATTGATGTTTCTCTCTCTCTCTCTCCCTTCCTTTCTGACATAAATTTTTTAAAAGAGAGCAGGCTGCTGTTTACTTATTTTTTGTCTTTAGGTTGTTTATTAAAAAGAAAAAAAGGTAAAAGGAATGCCAGGGTGGACTGTTCCCGATGAGGGAGTGGCTGTTATTTCCACACGCGCCTCGCACGTGCGCTGCCCGTGTCTGCAGCTGCCAAGTACCAACCTGCTCATCCTGCCACTTCCTCTTCCACCCGGAATTCCTGGTGACATCTGCCCACGTGAACCCAAACTCCTCGGGGTTTCTCACCTCGGCACCAGTGACATTTGGGCCCAGTAATTATTTTTTTTGGGGGGGGTGTCCTGTGTATTGTAACAGCACCCCTGGTCTCTACCCCTAGCTGCCACTCTCCACCCCCAGCTGTGACAACCAAAGATGTCTCCACAGTGCCAGCTGTCCCTGGGGTTGGCACAGTCATTGTAGTTCATCTGTTCTCACTGCTGCCTAGTATTTCGTCGTGTGAATGAATGGGCTGCACCGTATTCTCGTGCCGGTGGGGTGGGGCGGGTGGTTCCGGCTGCTCCACCATTACAAGCGATACTGACGGAAATTCCGCACTCATTTCCCTGAGCCCCAGCGGGAACGTGTCTGCTGAATAATTACCCGGAAACAGAACGCAGGCACGTGAGGCCGGCAGCTCCGCCCGCACCGAGTGCTGCCAACGCCTCGCTGTGACAAGTCTTAAGCCTTTGAGTCGTCACAGTCATTAGCCTCTCCCTTTAGGGCCCCTGGGTTTGGGGACTTGCCTCAAACCCCGACTGCATGTAAATCTCTGGTTCCTCTGAAGTGGTTGCGGCTAAAGGAGGAGAGCAGTTAGCCCGCTGGCTCCACCATTTGCTGACGCAGCCGACTGCACAATATTCGCTCATTTTGGGAAAGTGATGTGTGTTTACAGGTTTAGGACTTTTTCCAGGAGTCACACCCACCTGTGAACACCTGCTGTTTCCGGGTGGGGGGGTGAGGGATGTTGCCTACATTTAACATTTTTCAACAATAAACATGACGTATGTGTCATGAAAGAATAGCAATTGGGAAAAGTGATGTGGCGATGCCGTGACACCAGCCGGGTTGGCGCAAATTCCAGGAACACCTGCAGTGGGCACCTGACTCACCTGAGGCGGAGAGGCTGGGGGTGGGGGGTGTTTCCTAACCCAGAGCAGGGCGGGGCTTGTTGGGGGCAGAATAGCCTCCAAATGGGGACACTCCCCACCACAAGCACGTTGTCAGCAGCCATTACCAGACAGTCACTGCCTGTCCCTGGGCAGAGCCGGCCGCAGCTGTCGTGCCTGAGCGATGGCCGAGCGAGCGAAGCGCCCTTGTGTAATGGTGGTGGATGATGCCGTCCCGCCTCACAGCCGGAAGCAGTGGCCGCCCTGGCAGCCCTGCAGGTGGAGCCAGCCGACCAGGTCGAGGTAACACCCTGGAGGACACAGGGCTAGGTCTCCCACAAAATAATCCCCCCGTCGGCCAGGCAAGTGCCAGGGAGGTGGGCCCACGGTACACCGCCCGGACATGGCCACCAGCAGCCGGCCCTCAGAGGCTCTCAGGGGTGCCGGGAACACGGAACAGTTACCGTTTCCAACTGTCTTCCCCCGTTTAGGAGGCCAACGCCGAGAGGGCAGGAGAGTTTTCCTTTTCCCACGCTCCCCGTGCCCGGCACAGAGAAGTGGCCCGGTTGGTGGAACGGCTGAAGGAGGGTGCAAGAGACCACCTGACTTCCCATCCCCCCTTCCCCTGACGTTTTCACGGGGACGCGGCAGAGGGATGGGGAAACAGGAGCACTCATCTGGCCACGGCCACCGCCACCTTCAAACATCTGTTGATTCTTGTCCCAGTTCAGCAAATTGTTGTGCATCCAACGTGAACTGCACAGTGAGATGTAGGCGAGACTCAGAATCCAATTCTGACACCTGCCTCTTCTTAAACCGTTCCTTAGACAGGACAGATACTCTGAACATATCTGGTTTCTTCCCTCAGATCATCTTTGCTTCTAAAGATTGTTGATTGCAAAGGCAGGAAGCAGAGGACAAGGTGGTTTGCAATGATTAAAAGGTGACAGTCACCCTGACTCAGGGAGTCAGAGCGGATGCCCACGGGGTCCGGGGTCTGCGGGTGATGGCGCCACGGGAGTGAACAAGGCAGTCTGTGCCCGGAGCTAATAGTTATTGAGCATTTCACGTGTGCCAAGGGCTTTACAGGTTTTAACTCATTTAACGCTCACAACTCTATGAGGTGGGCTCCGGGGGTAAGTAATCTGCCCAAAATTGTACCCCGAGGACTTAGAGGGGGCTGGGATTTGGAGTCGGACGGACTGGCTCCAGAGCCAGCGTCCTGATCCTCGAGCAGGTGATACAAACACGAGGCAGTGACAACGCGGCGGGGCCAGTGCCACCACCGATCCTGCGGACGAGTCCGAGGAGGGGACACCTGATCCCAGCTTGGGGACGGTCAGCGTGGACGTACAGACGGAGCAACGTGGAAAGTTAGTCAGCGAGTGGGGAAGGAGCAGGCAGGGCCCAGGCAGAGGGGCTGCGGGGCCCACAGTGGCGTGCTCGTGCAGAGCAGCACAGCACAGAGAATAGCGATGTGAAGCTGCTGCAGCCCTCAGCGGCCCCTGCTCTCCACAGGCTTGGCCAGGGAGGCGGCTGGGGCTGGAGAGAGGCCCAGCGGGCACGGTGGAAGAGTGCCCAGCGGTGGCTGCCACGGACAGTGGCGCCCTTTTGACACCTGTACTTGGCCAGCAGCAGTCAGCAAGTCCTTCAAGGAAATGATACAGAAATAATACAGTTTTCTTGACTTTCTTTAAAAAACCAAGAGAGGCACGTTTAACGTCAGCGCCACAGATCTCTGGAACTGGGAGTCCTTCGCTGTTGAAAGCAGGGCGACCTGTTGATTCCAGCCTCAATTGTAACGTGACTCTGGATGAGAACTTGGCACATTACTTGACTAGAATATACAAATACAAATTGCCTCATGTACCGTAGGGATTCAATAAAATAACTACTGTTTAGTAGGGAAGGGGGAGGTGAAGGAGAGAGAATAGAGTCTCAATTGTCTTTCAATTTGGAGGTTTCACTTCTCAGGGCTCCACATCCCTTGAGTGAGAACTTTTTTTTTTTTTTTTAAATATATTTTATTGATTTTTTACAGAGAGGAAGGGAGAGAGATAGAGAGTTAGAAACATCGATGAGAGAGAAACATCGACCAGCTGCCTCCTGCACATCTCCCACTGGGGATGTGCCCGCAACCCAGGTACATGCCCTTGACCGGAATCGAACCTGGGACCTTTCAGTCCGCAGGCCGACGCTCTATCCACTGAGCCAAACCGGTTTCGGCGAGTGAGAACTTCTCAGTGGGCCACTTTGGAAATCTGTGGGGCCACTTTGGGCCGTTGCCACAGCGACTGGGGCTTCACTGATGTGGCTCGAGGGACCCTCGTGCAGTGGGAGTCCCATGGACAGGCGCTTCCTACCACAAACATACACCCTGCTGCCCTGGAGGGAGCAGCCTGCACCTGAGCCTGGACTGCTCCTCGATTATAAGCATAAGACGAAGTTCCTTACGCGTTAATGTACTTAGAATGTCCGGGACCGCAACCACCGAGTAAATAAAAAGTGATTGTACTTGTTTTGTTTGAAGTTTTACCAATTTCAGGACGTCATGGGACTGACAGCCGTCAGTCATGGCATGTGAGTGGACAGCACAACGCAGGTCACACTCAAGGTTTAGGAGCCAGCGCCTCACTGCATCGTCTTTGATGCTGAAGTGCATTCATATTTTTCTAAGATGTATACACACCTGAAGAGCTCATAGCTCAATTGATGTTTCTTTCTTTCCAGATTTAACCCACTGGAATGAATAATTATTCAAAGTGTGTATACATTTTTTGGGACAGCCTGTATAGATCATTATATTTTCTTTGAAATTGTGTGTGTACCTGTATGCGACCTATGAATTTCACTTCAGGATCACGAAAGGCATACTGCAAAATATTAGTTATACGAAAGCTGTTGCATCTCATAGAGTTGAGAACCGTTGGTCTTTTCAAGGGGGCGAGGCTGGTCATGTGGTTTTACATACATGTTTTTCCCCTCAAATGACACTAAAAGGTGATGGAAATACTAGTATATAGAATGGCAAAATTTGACTTAAGATTACTTCCTCTCTTAACTACTTGGTGACTTCTAAACACAGCACATGCTTTACGCCCTGGCTGGGGGGGCTCCATTGGTTGGAGCATCCTCCCGTGCAGCAAAGAGTTGTGGGTTTGATCCCTGGTAGGGGCGCGTACGGGAGGCAACTAATCGATGTTTCTCTTTCACATCAGTGTTTCTCTTTCAGTCTTACCCTCTCCCTTCCTCTCTTTCTAAAATCAGTTTTTTTAAAAAAAATATATTTTATTGATTTTTTACAGAGAGGAAGGGAGAGGGACAGAGAGTCAGAAACATCGATGAGAGAGAAACATCGGTCAGCTTGCCTCCTGCACACCCCCCGACTGGGGATGTGCCCGCAACCAAGGTACATGCCCTTGACCGGAATCGAACCTGGGAACTTTCAGTCCGCAGGCCAACGCTCTATCCACTGAGCCAAACCGGCTATGGCCTAAAATCAATTTTTAAAAAATAACAAAAATAAACAGCACATTTAAAAAACTGAATTAATCAAATAGGTTTGCAGCCAACAGTATCCCACTGGCTGTGGGCAATCGCTCAGACCACGGGCTCCAGCTCAATGATGAGTTCTCCAGAACCTGCACGGGAGCCTGCCCTGGCCGGTGTTGTCTCCGGAGCTCTCCTCCACATTGGTTCTAGAAACTCACAGTTCCCAGAGACAGAACACCACATCCAACAGGACAGCCTCAGTGCTCAAGGTCAACTCAAGGGAGACGTAAACC